ATGAGCTGGCGGTGGGCTCGCCAGCACTGGAACGGCGGCTCCTCCGTGCTGCTGCTGCTGCCGCTGCTGCTGTGGCACGGCCGGGTCCGGCCGGCCGGCGCCGACAACGCCAGCCAGGCGTACTACACCGCGCTCATCAACGTGACGGTGCTGAGCCCCGAGCGCGGCGGCCCCACGCTGCTGCGGATCGACCGCGGCCGCTACGGGCAGGACTCCCCGAAGGTGGAGGTCAAGGGGCTGCTGGTGACTCCCGTCCCCATCAACGGAGGTAACGCTTCCCTCGCTTGCTGCCGGGTGGTTGCTCCTTGCCTGGGCTGGCTGGGTAGGCTTTCCTCGAGTGCTCTGACAAACGAGGAGGAAGAGCTTTCCTAGAGGAAAATAAAATAAATTCATGATCTGAGAGTGTTGGCTTGAATAACGGCTCATCAAAGTATAATGTGCTTTCCAGCATGGATCCCAGTAGATTGGGTGTATTGAGCGGTGAAGGTGTTATTTAACTAATTACAGAGAGGGTAGCGATAGCTGACAGTATTTGGTTCCAGCATTGCCTTGAATCTCAGAACAGCTGCATAGCCATCTCGCTGTACATCTGGATAGCTTTGGCAACTGCATGAAGTCAGTTTTTCAGTGTACAGTTCCTAAAAGCGCTGTTTAAGCTGCCCATCAAGGCCTGGAAGGAGTGAAGCTAGCAAGTTGTTGCTCTTATAGCCAGCCCAAAATGCGCTTGTTTGCAGTACACTCTGAATAGAGTGTCCAAATAAGTTTTCTTTTAATTAAGTGAAGCTGTTGTCCATCAATTCTTCTCTTGGTAAATGTTGAGGTTTATAGAGAACACTAATTTGAACAGATGAGAATATTGTCATGATTTTTGCCTGAAGTGAAACCAGTATCTTAAGTAATAGTGATGTAATTTTAATAGTATCTTATTTTGAAAACCATTCTTGACATTATCTAAACTGCCATCTTTAAGAAATGGACTGCTTGATATAATACAGTGGTCCCAACCTGCCTCCTGGACAGTAAACATATGAATAATATATTAAGTGAAATATTGTAGTCAGTTAAAACTAGAGTCTTAAGTGGTGAATACTAAGAGTGTTTTAGAAGAATTGACAGCACAAAACTACTGTATTGTTAGAAGCTTTAGAGAATTTGCCAAATCTTAAGATCAGGAAAATACTTTGGTGCTTCTTCAGAACAAATGTATTCTGTTAGGCAGCCTCTGTAAGCTTCTGGTCAGGATGGATCAGGCTGTGCATCCGCAGGTGCTTGTCAGTCTCACTGGAGCTCAGTTTCATTAGCCCTGTAAAATATAACTAGGATGTATTAATGGTGTAGATTTTGGGGTGGAAGAGTGAGGAAGCAGAAATTGTTGAGGACATCTGCTGTAAAATTAATTTTATTTGTACTTCAAATCCTGTTTATCAGCTACCGTTAAATATGTTGCAGTCATTCTTCTGCTTCCTGATATTCCTCACTTGCATCCCCTTGAAATCAGGAGTCTGTCCTGGAAGTTTTAGGCATGTAAATACTGTTGCTGCAAATGGTTTTTTAGCAGGTTTTAAAACATTGCCTTTTAATACATGCAACTTATCAAAACATTTTATTTTTTTGAGCTGCCTTATTTGTCAAGAAAAACTTTTGATACTAATTTCTTTTAATCTGCCTCTGTAACTTTTCCTGCTTTCTTTTGATATGCCTTCACTAAGGTGCAATTTAAACACTGAGGGAGGCTTTGACAGCATTTTCACAGGCAGTTGATAATGAGAAGAGCTAAATAAAATTATGAACAGTCCATAAACAGCATTTTTATACCTACTGCTAAGTACTATGATGAATAACTTTATTGAGAAAGCACAGCAGGAAGTGTGAAAATGTCAGACCTGACATGTTTTGACATAGTGCAGTTGTTAAAACTTTGTTAGCAATTTTGGGGGAAATTCAGTTTTGCCCTTCTGTTTCATCACAGGCAAGGCAAGTACAACAGCAGTTGTCTTCCTTATTTTTAGATACTCTGAATTGCTCTGTGTAGGTTGTTGTGTACTTACATTTTATTTGAATTTTGCTGATATGCATGTGATTTAAAAATGTTTCATGTAGTAAGAAAGACTGGAATATTTTATGCTTTTAGTTAGGCTGTTCTTGAACATCTACTTTTTTGTATTCAGATTGGTAAAAGATGATGCAGACTTGCTGAAAGTAATTGCTCTAATGTTTTTTTAATCAGCCTTTTAATATTGCTGTAGAACTTGTTTGTAAAATTTTTTCTAATAGCTCTAAACATGAGCAGCTGCCAGCCACTGCTCTTAGAACAGTAAATGCTGTACCCCAGTTTTCATGAATCCTCAGAAGAAAAGGACTCTACAATTGTTACCAACTTTATTTGAAGATACCTTGAGTTTGAAACTGCTTTGATGTCAAGCATTCACCCATTTATGGGCTATCTTTGAAATTTTCACAAATGTGGGTGATCTGTTAGCACCTTGGTGGCATGAACTGTTTTAGAGCTGAAGTGTCCTTAATTTCACATTTTTGCATGCTCTGTGAAGAATCGAAGAATCACAGAATGGTTTGGGTTGGAAGGGACCCTGAAGATCATAAAGTTGCAACCCCCCTGCCATGGGCAGGGATGCTTTCCACTAGACCAGGCAGCTCAAAGCCCCATTCAGCCTGGCCTTGAACGCTTACAGGAATGGGACATCTTATTACATCCCTTATTCATTGCCTGTAGGGAAATAATTGTGTTTACTAATTCAAGATTTAGAGCCAATGATTTGCTGCTGACCACACACCATTTGTCATTTTCAGTGTTCTGTGATGTTTTTTGACTTTCATTCTTGAATATGCCCAGTATTTTATGTACTGCTTTTTGAAGATGCCAGTCCCATGTGGTCACCCATCCTTTAAATCTCAGTGCAGCATGACAGTCAATCATTTCTCCCATTTCTTTAGCAAGATTTCTTTAATGGAATTCAACCCTGTCATGTTAATACATGTATTAAAACTCTTCCTGTGTTCTTTTTATAGAGCTTGTATGAAATTGATAGGGGCTTTCAAAGGCAATGTTCCCCCAGGAGTGGGGTGGCAGTAATTGGCATGACCGCCTGCAAATGTGACTTGTGAAAGTGCAGCTCCAGAGATCTCTTGGTCACAGTTGGCTGCTGGGTGTACATTCAGCACCTGTGTGGGCATATTTTTCCAAGCACATTAAATGCATGCTAGCAGCATAGTTTTTTTATTAATCTCTCTTCTGTTCTTTGAGTTCCTTCTCTTACCTCCTCTAACTTGTTCGTCTCTCTCTTGTCATGACTTAATTTCTTATTAGAAGAGTGTTTTAAACCACTTCTGGACATGTATGCTTGCAGATTTAAAAAAAAAAAAAAAAAGGTCCTCTTGTTGTGCATGGAAGGATAGAAGTGAAATGCATCTTCACAGCCTGATGCAGTTTTTCTGATAGTTTTGTTCAGGTTTATAGTATTCATTCAGTGAGGTTCCAGAATACATATTAGAGTTATACATAATAACTCTGTTATTTGTGACTGTGTGCAACCAGATATTTTCACAGAATCACAGAGTGGTTTGGGTTGGAAAGGACCTTAAAGATTGTCTAGTTCCAAGTTCCCTGCTTTGGGAAGGGACACCCTTCTAGACCAGGTTGGTCAAAGCCTCGTCCAACCTGGCCTTGAACACTTCCAGGTTATTTCAGCCCAGTCCTCTCACAGCAGCTGCCTGGGTGCTCCTGGATGTCTTTACAAACCCCGTGCAAGTGTTCAGCCGTGTGCCACTCCAATGACCTGTGCTTTTACTCTTCTTTGGTATTGAGTGCTGGACACACCTGTGGTGCTGACTTTAAGGTGTCAGGCTTATTCCCCTTGCCATGGCAAGCCAAGATAGAAGCCACTGAATATTCACCTTAATGCTTCTTGGTAGAAACTGCTTTGTGGTGTAGTTCCCTCAATATCATTCTCCAGGGGGAACAGGACTCTTTGTGGCTGTTGAATCTGAGTTAATGCTTTTGTTCTGTGCCTGGATTCTGATGTGAGGACTGGAAATTCAGTCTTGTGTGCTCTTTAAAGTCCTTCTGGTGGATTTGCTGGGAGGTAAGGTTTTGTGCACCTTGGCTGGCTTGGAAAGCTGGGAACCAGGCAGGATGACCAGGACTGGTGATGGGGCTGATACAAAGAGAAGTAGCAGCAGAGTGAAACTTGAAATGTTGAAATTCATTGAGCCAGTAGGTCAGGAATGAGGGGGTGAGAAGGGATGGAGTCTAAAGGCCTTGTAGGGAGGTGGTGGTTGTACAAACGCAGCTTTGGAGAAGGAGCTCTTAGGAGCGTTCCCAAAGGGGTGTAAGAATTGGGGCTGGGCAAGGAGACTGAGAATGTGAGGAAAAACATATGCTAGAAAAAGGTGAAAGTGTGGAAGAAACAATATTGGCTCAGTGTTAGGAAGGAGGTGTATCTTGTGCATAGTACTGTAACTACAGCATTCTGTAGCATCTGGCACTTCATAAGCATGTTGTGTGAACAAGTTTTAGCTGCAGAAGGTTTGAAATGCCAGTTTCCTGCTAACTGCAGGGCTTTAGGCAGCATTCAGACAGAAATTCTGGCCCAGAATCCAAACCAGTAAGGTTTAAGAAAATGCAACAAGCAAATACATCAGTAGAATAAGGGAAGAAAAATCTTGTGCCATGCTTCTGTCCTTCATCATTGATCTTTGTATCCAGCTTAATGAGTAGTCACTGATTGATAGCAAAGGTGGAGGTTATATATTGGAGTTTATAGCCATAATTGTAGAATACTTACTGAGCTAACAAGATTAAATCTAAACTATTACAGGACTCTTCTAAGCTTCAGTGATTATCTTTTGTTTAACTTCCTCCCTGGAACCAGATTAGCTCTTGTTCAAGGAGTTTCTTTTTGTGCTATAAAGGCAGCTTTAGTCAAAGCAATTACCTGAAAGAGCTATTGAAAATACAACGTTGCTGTAGATAACTCAATGATTCATTGGCACCACCTTAAAAAGTAGAAATTATGACTGGCTTGAATAAGGGCTGTATTGATAATAACACAAGTAGTAATGCATTGAAAGAAAATATGTCCGTTGCGTGTATTAAGCCCTAATGGGGTAGAAACTAACTAGTACCATTCCTTAAAATAATCAATCAGCACTACTGAGTTGCCTCTGTGAATTTCCTAGCTGAATTCCTTTTCTGGAAATTTTATCACAGGATTATAATTAATGTGTTGCACAAAGCAGTCTTATTTTACCAGTCAGGTGTTCTACATAGCACCTACCTGGGCAGCAGAACTGTAGGGAGGGAATGCTTTGGGGTGCAGTATGTGTGGCACTGCACCTTCCCATGTTCTTCTGTGGTTTCTTTCCCAACAAGCCTCCTGATCTGTTGTCCCTCAAAATGCTAGTGGTGTGTCTCCAGCTATTGTATTACAGTGACTGAAGGTCAGACTTTAAAATGATTACTGTATGTGGAGCTGAGACAGACTAGCTCTGGCAACTGGTGCTGGCTTTACACACTACAGTATTAGCTAAGATGAAATCAATAGCAAGATACCTGACCTTTAGAGAAAAAAAAAAAAAAAACCTGCCTAGAATAAGATGGTTAATGCCCAGATAGTGGGATATTTCTGTGAAAAGGGGGCAAAGTCTGCAGCAGCCTTAGCTGAGGGGAATGTTGAAATCAAAACAATGCAAGAGCAGCAGGAACACACAGCATGAGAAAGAGCAAACCTAGCCCCAGTTCAATCTAGGGGACAGTCTGCATTCACACAGGTGTGCACTTGTGACAAAGCCACTGGGAGCTGCCCTTTTCATTTTGTTTTTGGTCCACAAAATGGCTCTCCTTACAGGGAGAAGGCTAAAGCATGGTCAAGCAATTGGAAAAGGAGAGGGGGAAACTACTGTGGCTGTGCTGATGTGAGCTTTCCACTCCTTCTTCAGTAGCTGAGAAACCTTGGTTGGATCTGTTGCATTATTAACTACTTTTTTCCCATGAATCCCTAAAATGCTGTCACAAACTTTAGTCCTTCAGCAGAAAGGAGTCTTGAATTATAAAAAACGCTCAAGGAAAAACAGTTACACAAATTGGACAGCACTGTGTATTCTGCGAAAGAAAACTGAAGCTCTCCTAAAGCAGAAAACAAACATGAGCCTAATGGTAGGTACTTAAATCACAGCTGATTCTTCTGTAAAGAGGCTTTGCTGTGGTGTTGGGACTTAGAGTAGGAAGGGAGATCTTTACAACATTGTATATAGTTCTTTAACCCAGTGGGCTGCCACTTAGAGCAGAAAATTGGGGTTTTTGCTGACAAATGATGCATAGATAAACACAAAGGCAGGGTAAATAGCTTATATTTCAAATAATGCAGAGGAGTAGTACACTTATAGGGAAACTTACTTAAATGGCTTTCTGTATGCTTCTATCTTCTGAACTTCCATGAGAGGCTTCTGATCGTATCTTCTTCTGTGCAAATGATTTGTTTTAGAATAATTTAATGTGAAGTTGCTTTTCATTCTAGCAAGTAACATCGGTTTTGGGCCTCTCACTACAAGAAGGACATTGAGACATGTCCAGAGAAGGACAAAGGAGCTGGGGAAAGGACTGAAGCACAGGTCTGATGAGGAGAGGCTGAAGGAGGGAGCTGGAGAAAAGGAGGCTCAAGGACGACCTTCTTGCTGTCTAAAACTCCCAGGAGGGTGAAGCCAGGTGGTGTTCAGCCTCTTCTCACAGGTAGCAAGTGGCACAATGAGAGGAAACTGCCTCAAGCTGTGCCTGGAGGGGGTTAGATTTGATATTAGGAAAAATTTCATCACTAAAAGGATTGTCAACCACTGAACCAGACTGCCCAGAGCAGTGTTGGAGTCACCATTCCTGGAGAGATTTAAAAGACTTGTAGATGTGGTACTTGGGAGCACAAGATGAACACAACAGTGCCAGGTTAATAGTTGGACTCAATGATCTTAGAGGTCAATGATCTTTTCCTACCCAAACAATTGTGTGATGATCCAGGTAATGCTTCTAACCCATGTGTTGTTGATACTGGTTGTACTTTGGATAGCAGATCGTAGATGGCAGGGTAGTGGAGAGTGTCAATGATTCTGGCTGACCCTGTTCATGTGTGTCCCCTTCAGTGCCCACTGACATCCTGAGCTGTAAAGGAGATGTTCTGTTGTAACCATCTCACTATTCTAGAAGGGTGACTGTAATTTAAAGGCTTCCACGTTTTTCAGAGTATCTTCAGTCTATTGAAAAGACAAGCAGAACACCCCACGTCTCACTATCATTTTTGAATTTTATTTAGTTAAAAGTGAGATGATTACTTAACATTTATGTGGTGTAACAGAATGCTAATGCAAAGAAAAGTTGGTTGTGACTTTTTATTAAATCTTAAGTGATTTGCAGACAGTTCAGATTTATCTAAACCAGCCAGATTTTCCTCAGTGTTTTTGTATTGCTTAAATAGTACTGAGCTAATGTTGTCAGCTGTTAAATTTTTATCAGGATATACTGAATACACCTTGTCAAGAATAACATGCTGCAAGCATTTGAGTGGTGTTTGTTAGTCTATATCTGGAAAGCTTTAATCTCTTAATATCTTGTTTCCTAATTCTGTTGCTTTATCCAGTAACATTTCATAGCTCTGTCCACAGCTGAGAGAGACTTTGATCTCTATGGTGGTAGAAAATTTTGTGCTACTTTTCCCACAGATGCAGTTTCTGTTATCTCTTACTTTTTTCTGTGTTGCTTTTTAAGCTAAAAATTTTCAAGCATACAAAATTTCAAGGTGCTTACATGAATTTTAAGAATGCTGCCTCCTTGTTCAAGGTGCTTTTTGTTGCTTTTATGTTTTTTCACTGTAGTAACCCATTACTTTGTTCTTGTGGCCATTTTTGTTTTCACTTCATATCTTAGTTTTGATCATGATTGTACTGAAGGAAATAGTACATTATCTGTAGGATTACTGTTTTTAATAATCCCATCTATTTTAGGTAAATTAATGTTGGCCATAGTGTTTACTTTCAGAGTTATTTTTGGTTGTTTGAGGGGATTCTGTGGAATTGTAGCCATTTAGAAAATGGTGTTTTCCAGCAGATGTATCATACCTGAGATTTTTGAGTATGATTTCATGGAAGAAGGATGGGATTTTTAGCTTTCAAGGCTTGAGAAACTTTCTGTCACAGTCTGGTGGTGCTTTCTCCCTTCCATGTTTTTAAGTGGAAATGTTCAGAACAAGGGGGAATCAAGCATTAAACAGCTTTTATCTTAACAGAGGGCAAAAAGATTGGTGGCACGTGTGCTGTGTTGTGATTCATTCACATTTTCAAAAAGGACTGTAATTCCTTTAAAAAATATGTACTGTTCTCAAATTTAACATTACAAAGACAAGCTGCAAAAGTGCAGTGGGCATAAAGGTGCTCTTCTGTGATTATTGATGTTTGTGATGGCCATCACCAGTGCTGCAAAACACGTGTGGATCAGTGCTAGCTAGCAATTTCCACAGGGATTTGAGTAATGTCACGATAATGGAAGAAAACTCTCTATAAAATTTGGCTTCAGGCATCTATATTTCAGATTTTCCCTCATGCCTGTATGAAACAAAAATACAGCAAATAGCTTTCCATGTCTGAGATGTCTAATATAGGCTTAAAAAACAATCGTGAAAAGGATGTGCTGGTATCTGGCTCCCCACCCTCCTTCCAGAGGAACAGGGAGAGGCACTTCTTGTCCAAATTGAGACACAATGACTTCCTGTATGTCTGCCACAGTATAGATTCATCTACACCAGCTTTCTTTAGGCAACCAGAAGATTTTCTTTCTTGTTTCAGAAAACATATTTAGCTTTTTGAATCTCCTTTGTTACAGGTTTTAACCTCAGCTATGTTAAGCTGAGAGCACTTAAAAGGACCTTTTGTTTCCAGCTAATATGTTAAACTGGATATTTTTTTTGGTGGTAGATTTTTTTGCTGAAATCTCATAGTTGTGCTGAACTCACTTCTTGAAAAGGAAAAAAATTATGGAAGACTTCATTTGATTTGCTCTTACATTGCAGAACTGTAATGTTTTCAGAGCTATTATGCAAATAAATTGTTTGTTTATGTCTTGAAAAAATCACTGTTTATCCCAACTATTTTTAGTAGCCAAAGATTATTATACTCTTGGCATTGGAAAGGATAAATATATTTGCATTATAAACTATTGTTGGCTCTAAATTTATAAAATACTTTAATGATATGACCAGTGTATCAGACTAAGCTGTGTTTCCAGTTGTGCAAACAGATCTGTCTTTCATCGGTTTCAGCTGCTGTGAAGTTACTTCTGCCTTGGGTTTTGTGCCATTTGTACACAGCTCTGTGGCTTTGGGTTGTTCCAGGAGATGTTACACCATCAGAAGGGACAAAAGAGCTTTGCACACTGTTGAATTCAGACATCTGGCATTTGCTATTTCTGTTACTCTTCCTTTATACCATCTATACCTGTTTAGCTGATGAGTGCATTGCATTTGCAAACCTTTTTGTTTTTATATGAATTTGAATACATTTCCTTGTAGACAAAATGTGCATATGTAAAAAGCCAATGTTGGCTTCTGGGGTTTTACAAGATCAGCTTTTAATATTGTCCTTTTTTACAGTAGCCTGCACATGGCAGATAACTCTGAAATCTTGTTTTCACAACCTGCTTTGTTTAGTTGTACTTCCCACTGCAGTGATATTTATGGCTGCATTAGGAAGAAGAAAAGACTTGTACTCCCCAGAATGACAGATAAACAGCTGTTTTGTAAATGCCTATAGCAGATGAACCATATTCTACTGTTTTTCAGCCTCTAGGCAGGTATTGATTTGAATGTGAATTCATTGTTCTAGCTGCACTGGAGTTAAAAATAGCTTGTTTTAGTGAGCCTAATTCTCAGGGATATAGTCACAGCTTTCAGTGCGTAAGACTTCTTTTTTTAAAATTTTTTTTTCATAAGAATACAGTTATCTTTAGACTTTCTTTACAAGAGTAGTGGCTTCTTAGTGTGTAACATTTAAGTACTTCAGCTACTTGGATTTAGGGTTTTTCTTTTTTTTTGTTTTTCTTTGTTTTGCCTATTAGAAGAAATTGCCGTCTGTGTAAATTTGTTTCCCATTTCAGTTGCAGATCGTCTGGGCTGTGACCCTCGAACACGTTTCCAAGTCCCACCTAACACCAAGCAGTGGATTGCTTTATTACAGAGAGGAAACTGTACATTTAAAGAAAAAATACTACGAGCAGCTTCACATAATGCCACAGCTGTGGTCATTTACAACAATATATCCAGTGAAGAACCTGTCACGATGACTCATCAAGGTAAAGAAAATGTGATCTCCTTCACTATAATGCTTTTGCTGTTTAAACTATTGCTAAAGAGCCCTTGGCATTGGACAGATTGGTATTGGAAGTAGCCTATTCCCTAATGATATTTACATATATGCAATATAGTAAAATAAGCCAGTAATTCTGAAGAGTTATTTTCCTTTAGCATACATTTATCCAATGAGAAACACCTCTGCAGTGGAGGTGTGGGTGTGTTGGAGTGAGGAAGTGCCTGTAAGATTTGAGGAGCAATCTTTCAAACCTTTCTGCAGAAGAGAAGCTAACATACATATATAATGGAAGATCTGGAATTTTACAAAGCATCTGAACCTGAAGAATTCTGTAGCAGCATGTCTTCAGCTCACTGTTCTGGTGGGGACCTTCAAATGTTAACAGTTGTATTTTGGGAGCTGAGCTTGCTTTTTTAATGGAAGTTTACAGAGGGTTCTCTTTCTACAATGAACGTTTGATTGCCATACAGGAACCAACAAAACAGTGATTTGGAGGGCTGTTGCCTCTGTAAATTGTCTAGAATAATGCTGGAGGTCTGTTTTTCTAGAGAGTTCTCTTTCTTTACAACTGCCTATATGTAAAATTTTACTGTTCCTGGTGACTTACTTTTGTTGCTGAAAGCCTCCTATGTAAACATTTTCCTTGGCTAAATATTATTTTTGCAATTCTGATAACTACCTATTTCATTTGCCAGAAGGTTTTCTCATTTTTGGAACTATTTAGCTTAATCAGAAAAGGCATATCTCTGCATTTGGTGGTAGTACTGCTAGCTGATTTTAATTTTTTTTTCAAACATTTTTCAGTCTCTCAACATAGGGGATTGCTTGGAAACTAGAATTTCTTAATTATTGCTCTGCATATTGTTACACAATTAGAATTTAATTTCTTTACTAAAGAAATACTATGGTTCTTTCTTTCTTTTTTTAACAAGGAAAATGTTAGAGAGGCTTGACCTTCCCAACTTTCTATACCACAGGAATTTTGCAGGGGGGTTTCATGTAGCAATTGCCTGTTGACAATTGATTTTTATCTCAGGTACCTTCCTTAGACAGTTTTGTAAGTAAGCTGCAGGCAAAAAGTCATGTATTCTAATGAAACATTTTTTTGCCACCTTCCCTTTTTTATTTTTTTTTATTTCCCCCATTTCTCTCTCTCCAGTTATAGAGCCCTCTTAAACCTTCAGCTCTGGACTCTTTGAACTGCCTGTAGAAATATTTATATAAATATGCTCTATTTAGCAATGATTTGTAGTTTTCCTGTGGTCTGGAATACTTCAGTGTGTCAGGAAAAAAAAGCTACTGCTACTACTAATACTGCTTTAGCATTCTTGGCTCTATTACATGTTAAATCATATAATGGGTTTGATTATAACTTTAATACCTTCTTTCTCATAATGCTCTTAGATTTGGCAGTTGCTTTACAGCAGTAAGATGAGGTCTGTCTTTTTTCACTCCGTGTTTTAGCTCAGAAGACCAGCGTGTTGCCTTAGAAACTTTATCAATAGTCCCAGTAGTTCTGGTTGGTTGAAATACCATCTAAGATGTAAAATTTGAGAGCTGCTGTGTTTAAGAGTGTCTTGTAAGGTTGCCAGGCACCTGTTTGGGTGGTTGATATTTGGGGAAAAGACAATACTGTCTTCAGCATGATGAGTTCCAAATACTTACTCTTACTTATAGTAAGTGTTAAAAAAAAGGTGATTACGGGAGATGATGCATATTTTAGCTTTGTGTGTTTGAAATACTGGAATTTAGGTGGATGTGCTCATTATACTCTTGAATCTGCCTTGATTTGGGCTGAAGACTCTATCTCAAAATTAATGTTGAAGTGTTCAAACTATGTGACAGGCTAAAAGTAATTTTTTAGAACTGAAGTAGCACCTGTAATGAAGAAAAATGTTGCTCCACAGCCTTGGTTTTGATTGTGTTATGGACATGTGAAGGATTTCCTCAGCAGTCACTTCGCAGAACTTCCTGCAAATAATTTCCTGGTGGGTTGATGGAGGAACTGTAATTGTGTGTAATTGAGATGTAGACCAGTCCTTGGTCTACAGGGAGGGTTTGGAATCCAGCATTCTCCTTCTTGAGAGTTATTCCAGGTGGGAGACAAATTCCTGAACCTGTGCTTACAGGATGACTTTCTAACACCATATAAAGTGGACTTGCACATACTCAAGACATTCCCTGGTCTTCCTTTTTCTGCCTTTCAACCATAGCACTGCTTGTGTGCTTTTTAGGTGGTGAAAAACCATGTCATCTCAGAGGTCTCTTCCAACCTAATTGATTATGTGTAGATATTCCGGTACACTGCATCACTTTTCTTTAATACTTTCTGTTCCTAAAGGTTGGGATGAACTGACCCTGTGTATTTGAGAGCTGTTCTGTACTGGTTAATGTGTTGGAGTTGATAGTTGGCAAGTGAGGATGGAGGTGAGCCACCAAGTTGGTGTTGGCTCCATATGATGTCTATTGCTATGCAGTATTCCTCTTTTCTTTAAAAATGCAGTCTTCACAAAACAATTTCACAGCTGTTATGGTGACCAAGTTAATGACTATTTTCTTTCCATAGACAAAGGAGAAAATAGATCTTGTGTTTTTTTATATTACTGTAACAATTTTTGTACTGCTGCATATCAAGTCTTAGAAATATTTTGTCTTTCTAGTGAAGCAAAGGGGAAAGCAGCAACTGCTTATAATGCACGCTATCAACTTCAAGCTTTCCTGCCTGGATATTTGCATGAATTCCAATCACCTGCTTAGGCAGTGTCTGTGGTAAAAATAAATAACACATTACACAGATTTATATATGTTGCCCACCTGCAGAGAGGCGATTCCCTGTGAAAGGAGCTTAGGAAGCACTTTTCACCTGTAGGATTAATATTTTATCCAAGCTATTTTATGCTTGAATACACATTTGAAAATTTTATTCTTATGGAAATTTGTTCATACTCAAAATATTACTTAGCAGAATGGCAGTTCCTTCTGGTGGCTGGATAACAACTATCACTCTGGAATCAGTTCATCATCACTGTGTCAAATGAACAGTTTCTGCTGCTAATAGCAGAATTTGCTTTCTCTTGTGTCACAGTCCACCAAGTCTCTGCCCCTTTGTTTTCACCTTTGAGTTTTAAAGTAGGTAATGACCTTCAGGAATTGTCAGGTTTTTTTGTTTTTTTTTTTAAATACGCATACTTCTGTTGATGTTATTTGCAACATTATTTTTTTTCTTTGTGCATATGTCACTGTATACCTACTTTGCACAATCCTGTAGATGTCTCCTATCAACCTAAGCAAAGGACACCTTTCCCAGCATAGGTTATGTCAGACTATGACATCACTGGCAGGAAGGCAGTGTTTTATGAGTGGTTTTGTTTGCTCCTTCAGTTAAAGCAAAGCTGATACTGTCTAATGTAAAAAAGAGCCTGTGTGGTGGACAAAATATGTAGTAGCTGTCTCCTTTATAGGCAGTTATGGGAAAAGGAAGAAAATTCAGGTTAAATAATGTTCTTATTCCTTTTTTTGTTTGTGTGTGGTGGAGACAATCCTGTTAAGTACAAAATAGTTAAATTTGGGGAGGTTGGAACTGGATTATTTTTAAGGTCCCTTCCAAACGATTCTATGATTTTATGATACAGAATTTCTCTTAAAATCTAGACTTTTATTTGGATTTATAGAAAAGAATATATGTCAAACAAGCCTCTAAAGTTCAAATTTCATAGTTAGAATTTATGGAAAAAAATAAAGACAGAAAATGGGAAACACATCTAGAAGACAGTGTCAAAATGATGTTGCTGGATTCCAGCAAGTGATTTCTCAGCACCTAAGAAATTTCCAGACATATATAAACAACTTCTAATGTAACACTGTTTTTAGAAGATTTACCTGATATAGGTAAATCTTTTAAGGTCTTTTGAACCAAGATGCAGAATGTCGTTAAGATCAGTGTTCATTGCTCTTCTAAAGAAACAACTCACTAATTTTCTGGAGGAGGGTGTTTCTGTTCCATGATGTGCACAGGTGATGTTCCCCTTGCCATGGCAGTGTGCAAGAGCTGTCCAACGTGGGCTCCCAGAAACAGGTTCCTTTTTCATTTTTCATGATCCTCTGTTGACTTTAAAAGTACATGTGTGTGGGAAGCAAGGGCTGCATTTGCTTTGAGCTGTGCTAAAACTGCCTGTATGTTCTGTGGACTGTTTTAGGTCAGTGGGTCAGAGGCAGGAGGGACAGGAAGCAATTTGAAGTTGTTGCCATCTAATGGCTGTTCCACGTTCTTGCCCTCATTCGGAGTGGGGACAATAGACTACAGAGAGCCGGCGGTCGAAGTGCCACTGTCCTCTGTTGTGGCACTGATCCCTGAGCAGCTCATCTCTTAACTCTGCTGCTTGCCTTTTTTTCACAAATGTCTCTTTATGTAACTCTCAGCTGAACTGAGACATGAAAGATCTGATGGGGTGCACTGCAGATTATCTTGCACAAATGTGTGCTGACAAATATTTTAGCTCTACACCAAATCCACTGCAAAACTTGTCCTGGATTACTGAGGCCTACTTTTAATCCACAGGTCAAAACTAATTTTATTGTATATTACAATATTGTTATTAAAAATGTATTATTATTAATTTATCTTAGACTGTTAGTGAAAAGGAAAGAGCTGAGTCATTAAAGCTGAAGCTTTATAAAAGGCAGAGTAATTAGTGGTCTAAGCATAGTTTACATATATTGGATCATTTTTTGCTTATGTTTGTTAATTGAAAATATGGATGAGTCTCAACAGCTTTATTGTTGATCATGTTTCCCACTACATTTCTTGGAGGTGTATCAATCAGGAGAATCTGTCACAACATGGAGTTGTCTGACACAGAGACCTGGAGAGGAGTGTTTGACATGCTGATTCTGGACCATAAGGAAGCACTTGTATCTTCAAGGCAATCCAGGGAAACCCCTTTACATGGCCATTATAGCCTTGGTGCCTTGCAGAATTCCTTA